GTGTGTTTTGTGGCATTTTGGAAGGTTTGGGAAGGTGTTTGGTGTGCTTGTCAGCATGGCTCCAAAGAAAATGCAGAGCTGGCTTGGCAAGGCTAAGGCTTTGAAGAAAAAAGTGATGTTTGAACTGAAGAAGGACATTATAGAAAAGCACGCTTTTGGTATTCATGTGACTGATCTGGCCTTGGAGTACAAGATGGTGAAGTCGACCATCTCGACTATTTTGAAGAATAAAGATGCCATCAAAGGAGCTGCTGTGGCAAAAGGAGTAATGATCTTAACGAGGAAGAGGACAGAAGTGCTGGAAGAGGTGCATATGTTTCAGAACTGTTTAACCATATGTATGTACACTGAACCTTATGGGGGAAATTTGCCTCGTGGTGCGACCAAATTCGGAGGGCGGATTAGCCGTATTTACATTGAACCTTATGGGGAAATTTGCCTCGAGTTGCGACCAACTCGAGTTGTGACCAGAGTCACGGAACGGATTAAGTTCGTAACTAGAGGTACCACTGTACAGTATTTGTTTAGTCACAAATGTTGGCTTGAAAAGATCAAATTTTTGAAAGTCAATGTTAAATTTAAATCATAGCCAAGCCATTTCAAAATGCATACTGTAATTTCTTCCATTAATGCTTTAAATGATAGTTTAACCAAGAAATCCTGAAAGGACTACAGTATATATTTGTATTTGCTGCACTGACCCACTCCATTTCTTGGGAGAATCAACTCTGAATCATATGATTAGGATTCCACCTGTTAGGAGGGTAGGATGCTAGACTGTTTCCAGCTTTATAAAATCATCAAAACACTCCAATGCTACAACAGTGTCATATTTTTTCTTCTTCCCTATGACTATTATAACCCCGATGCAAAATCTCTGGCTTTATTGCAGAGTTCTCTCAGAAGCAAAAGAAATATTTCACTTTTCAGTCTAGAATGAAAAGTCATTCTCCAAGTAGAAAAAAATGGGCATGTCTGCAAACATAACAAAACTCATTAGACAGTAGATTGTTGCCAACTATATGTAGTCTATTGTGAGGAATGAATGCTTGATGAAAGAAATTAAAAAGGGTGTATATAAGAGCATGCTTCTGCCTACTCTGTTATAAAGAAGTAAGAGTTGGGTATGGCAGAAGAAATGTAGCTTGAATGCAGTGGAAATGGGATACATAGGAGGTGTGGAGTAAAACAAGTTAGGGTCAAGAATGAATGGGTTGACTAAATGAGGATTGACTGAATGGATAAGTGAGCGGGCAGTGCAAAAGAAATACATTGGGATGATTTTGTCATATAGAGTAATGGATGCAGATTGATTGCAAAGCAAATGAAGAGTGAATAGATGAAGAGGAAGGAGAAGTCTGTGGTTGGATTGGTTGACAAGATCCTAAGAAAGAGGTGAGAAGTTTGAAGAACAAATACATGAAGTGAGGCATGGACATGGTAGAAAGAATTATGGTTTGCAAGACAGAAGGGTATAGTGAATGGATTTAACCTGGTTGCTAAACCTGAAAGGTGTGATGGGTATGTATGTATGCCTACTGTTTTCCTCCTGGCAGGGCTCAGTACTTCTAGCTCTTGCACAACAGGCAGAAAATTGCCAAGTGATACTTCCCCATCTCTGCATTTCCTTGCTAGGAACATTCATAATTTCTGTGCTACGTATCTATTAAAGCCTCAGGATCACCAGCAGCAAGAGTAGTTGGCAACCCTAGTTACAGATCTCTACAGTATCCTTGTTTACCATACTTTATCACAGCAGCAATGACAAAAAAAGAAAACAGAAGCACACCAAATTTCACCTTCACGAGAAACTTGTAACTGATTTTTGTTAAGCCTCCAATGTAATATTATTAAGAATACTATTTTAAAATGAAGCTAATTGTAGAGGAAAAAAATATCTCTCTCAAGTTCTACAAACAATACAGAGGTATGGGACTTGTTCAGTTCTATAAATACAAATAATATTCAATAGGCAAACATAATGTATTGCTTTGATTATACAGTTCTTGAGGACTTGTATATTAAAGTTGGCCCAACAGAAGCATCTTCTACTGGCTGACAAAATTATGTCAGCACACTGTTTCCCAGCATTTTTAGTTTCTTCCAGCTGTGCCCAGTCTGGCTTCAAATGTTTGGGGCCAATAACTCTGACAATTCCCAGACAACATGATCAATAGGCTGCCTGGGGATTCTGGGAGATATAGGACCAACACTTGTTTTAGAAATGCTGGTTTATTACCTTTTTTCCCTGCCTCCATTTTTATAACTATCCTCTGTCAGAATTTGAGATTGGTGGTCAAATACAAACCAATTGCCATTGGTCAATGAGCTATTTTTCTCCCTTATTTGATCAAGTAACTGTCAGTTTTTATAGAATACATGCATTTTCTCTGACATAGCTGGCTTTTGGGGAGGAGACAGAGCAGAAAGGCATAATATCCAGAGAAAAAAAGCAATATACTTGAGTTGAAGGAGGGCCCATAGCAAATTTCTGCCTCATGTCTTGATTGGGTTCCAGGTTGCAGAGAAAATACATGGGGATTAGGCACAAAGTCAGCAACAGAAAAAGGTCACTACTGACTTGTTCAAACATGTTCATTCTGTTCTCAAGCAGTTGTGTCTTGGCTATTGTTGACATAGCCTGGAACCCTAGAACATACCTAATACAGTAAAATGGACTGTAATTGTAAAAATATGCCACACTTTGCCACAAGGCAATCCTTTTGATTAAGAGGGTATATTTGGAAATTTGAGAGGATATTACCGGTACATTCACAAAATAACTGCAATTGTAGCTGTGGCCAGTAACCAACACCCATTTACAAAAAGAAAAAGTGGTGCCCTTGAGCCTTGTTGCTGCTTTGAGTCCCCTTTTCCTTCTGCCAGAATGACCCCTAGCATCCTGTTTACATTTTTTCTAAGGAGATGCTCTGGCTATATGGATCCAATAAAACTCATGTGGAATGAAACCTGTAAAGATTCAGATTGCAAATTTTATTTAGTTATGTCCATTAGTATATAAACAGTTCAGCAAAAATAGTGTTAAACACATATACCCTACTCAACTGAAACAGTACAATCCAAAGATCTTTGTCCAAAGGGAGATACGTAGATCTTGCATTCAACTGTATATTCATCCTATCTAGAGTCTCTACTGGATCCTTAAATGCTGAACGCTTCAATTACTCCTTTGCAGACCCACCCAATTCCATGCAACAGTACATTAACAACAATTAGGAAGTTAGAATTTGAAACTAGAAGTCATAATCCTTGTTCAAGAAGATAAAAGTCTGTAAATATCATCTAAGTAATAATTTTTTCACGGAAGTACTCCAGCTTTATATTCATGGTTTTCTTTGAATTCTGCCCTTACTAAGCTCAACCATAGTTCATGGAGATTACTTGAATACATTTCCAAATGCTAGGCCAATGCCATGTCTTTCAATTTTCTAAAACGCTTATGAGACCCATGTAGTCCACAAGGCATTATTATAAAGATGAAGCTAGGCTTTACTTTACACTATGCAAACTTCTCTTCCTGTCAGAAGTAGCTCAGGTTGAAGAAGACAGAATCTTAAAACATTCCCTTATTACTAATCTAGAGTAGTAGTTCTAAAAATGCATTTTTCCTCATTAAACACTTAAGGGCTAAAAGTTGCCATCTTGACTACATCATTGGAAACTAAGGCTTCTAATTCTGCACACATCTACCTGAGAATAAGTCTCATCGAACTTAGTGGAATTTGCTTCTCAATAAATGAAGAATTGTTCAGAAGCTCATCTGTACTGAGGCTACCATACCTGGGTTCCAGGAACAAAGACATATTTTGGCGCCATTTAGTGGCCACCTGGATGTTTGCAGTGCAGATCTGGTAGCACATCTTTCTCTTAACCCTGGATGCAGCCTTTAGTTTTGCATTTACGGTCTTGATCCTTCAATAATCACTGAGTTTAGTATGTCATACATCCCATTTTCTAACGAAGGCCAGTCTATTTGGGCAAGGTAATTTAAAATTGGTATCTTCAGCACTGGAAACCATCACATGAATACAGTTCTGTCTGAAAATGGGAAAGAAGTCCAAAGTTCAGAAATAAATTGATTAGCAGAGAAATGGGGGGGGGGAGGGAAAGAAATACATAAGATGTTCACATTTTAGTAATGAGGACTCTTATTCCATTAAACAGACTCAACATGCTCTTCTTTTAGAGAAAAAGAAACAAGTGTTTAGAGAAACATCTATATTCACCTACATTATAGCCAATGTAGATCAGAAATAGCTGCAATGTTTGCCTTTTTTTCTCTTGTAGTAAAGTTACTATATAAAGGGCACAGCGACAATAGTATTACAATTACACTTCTGCAGTTTGCAACTGGATCACTGAATCAAATTCTTATCCCTCCTTAAAAGACTGTACTATATATGTAGGAAAAGTTAAAACAGTTTAACAAATGTAAGGATGCTTAATATTTTTAACTGTAGAACTGCTGTGTATCACTCTCAGCATTTCACAGAAATCCTCCAGCATTCTTGCCAAACTATTCTAAGGGAATGATGAAATAGCTATAAATTGTTTTGGATTGGCATTACTAAAGGCCGAATTGCTTCTGTATGGAAAACTCCTAGCACTCCTGTAAAAAGCCACCGTGCAGCTATTTTATCTTTTCTTTCCCTACACTTTTTTTTCTGTTAAGAAAAAAGTGGAAGCAGTAGTAAAATATGAGGATAGTTACAAATAGAAAATATCTGAGGGCATCATTAGATATGACTTTAAGTCTGAGTAGGAAGTAGCTTGAACATGCCAGTAATAAAATCAATTGCATTGCTAGGCACATTTCATTGCAACAGATTCCAGCTGCTACCTGCTGGAATAGCAAAATTTTGTACGAAGAGAAACTTATCATCATGCTGTGTGCACAAAACTCTGTGCACAGAACTTTGCCCTCAGTGCAGGAGGGAGCTTGACCCAGCGCTGGCATCAACCTGATTGGTAGCAGGAAGGTGGCAGTGTCAGTTTAGTTCTAGCACAGATCTGCAGCCATGTCTGCTAAAACTCTTGATCCTCTGAACTATTCTGAATGAGGCAAGGAGATCACCCAATCGAAGCCCCATACGGAAACACCTTCTCTAAAATATTAAAGTTTTGCTGAAATCTGGCCTTTATGAGTGACTATGATTTGAAATGTGGTACTTTCCCATTACACAGTATCATTATTCTGAGGGACCGAGAATGTTTAAACTGTAGTCCTATGAAATAGCCACAGCTTCAAGAAGACAATTTGCCTACCCCCTCCACAAAACATAACCTCCCCTCCAAAACAGGTGGGGCTTTCTCTTAAAAACTCATGAATTGGATTAGCAGAGCACACCACAGAAATTAACAGGGTTTCTTTTCCAACTAAGTACATGCAGAAGTTCAGCAAAAATCTTCCTGTAAGAGAATATACCAGGTGAGTCTTTTCCCCAAATTGCACCTAATCACAGCACAAATACCATGTGTCAGGATTTTTTTTTTTGGTCCAGTCTCCTTGACATTACTTTCATCTTATCCCCAGCCCACAAATGAGACAGGCTCAAATCATTCTTAGCTGTTCTGGACTTAAAATAGCATTTTCTACTTTATTCCAACACCATTCAAGGACAAACTCAAGGTGTGTAAAGTCTGTTGGGCTTATCTGGGAAGGGATAAAAGTGACTGCAGTGACTTGAAAGAGAAGCAGGATGGGATTAGCAAGAGAGCAAATTTCATGGGGTCACAACACAAAAACAGAAAAAAAGATGCTGCCAGGACATGTTTATGCCATGATTAGATACAAATGGAGAAAGGCCTGTAGCCTGCAATTCTATTACTATTAATTATGTGCATCTTATTTCCTATACAAAAAGGAAAAAATAAGCAGAAGTAATATGAAAACAAAGGAAGAAAAGAAGCAAACGTGTTGTGTATAAATCATTCAGACCCTTTTTTAACATAGGATTAATCCCTGACCACACGAAATAAACTCGGTTACTCCACCTCCCCACGTGTTGGTCCGCAACTCCCAAAACTCTCCCGGGGCCACGTCTTCAGGATTCTCCCCTAGGTATAACTCAAGTTTAAAATTCTTGGATTTGAAGGGTTTTCCCTAAATAAACGTCGAAGCGGCTGAGCTCAAGGCATCAAAGAGGCTCGTAACGCTGGAAAGACATTTGTTATGGCAGAAATTTAGGTGAAGACTCGGGGGAGGGGAGGACAAGAGATTCGGCACCGCTCTCCCCGTGCCCCAGGCAGATCTCTGCAAAACTGCCAGGCTGCAGGAAATGCCGCTTCCCCGCGCCTTCCTCCCTCTGCGCTCCCGGTCCATCCTTCCTCCTCGGTGGGCGGGGCAGTCCCCCTTCCCACCCCCGCGTCAAGGAACTCGGGAGGCGGCGCTCGCTGCTGGGCAGGGCGGAGATGAAGCAAGTCGGAGTCCTGCGCCTTCCCTCCCGTCTCTCCCTGCCTAGGATTGAATGGAGAAGCACGCCCTTCTCCCAGCTCCAACAGCCGCCGCTTTTCGCATCGCGCAGGCTCCGAGTGCGCCTTGGTGAAGCCTCCGCGTGGCTCCATCTCGCTCCGACGGCTTCAGGCAACAAGCGGGTCGAGCCGCCGCGCGCAGCCCAGCATGTCGTCCTCTTCGGCCAAGCAAAGGAGCGGCAAGAACAGCGGCCACCCCGCTTCCTCCGAAAAGGGGGCCCACTCCAGCCATCCCGATGACGTGGCAAAGAAGCCGCCGCCGCCGCCGCCGGCACACGCCAAAGGCGGCAAAGGGGGCTCGCCGCCTTCTGGCGGGGGCAAAGCTCCCTCGTCCTGCAGCTTCGGCGCCATCCTGAACTTTCTCTTGTCCGTGACTTTCCTGGCAGCGGCTGCGCTCTCGGGCTATTACGTCCACCACCTTCTGGGAGAAGTCAGCCAGCTCAGCCTGAGGCAGGAGGGCTTCGCCAAGCAGCGGGAAGAGCTGGCCCGCTCCTTGGAAGGGGCCGTGCAAAAGGTAGGCGGGGAGGACAATAGAGAAATACCCATTCCTTGCCTGCGGGGGGGGGCAGCCCTTTCAGGCCCACCGGAGCGTGTGAGGGGGGAGCCGGAAGCTGGCCAAAATGAACCTCCGTCTTGGATTTAATTGCTCGAAGGCGCGCGGCGGTGTTTCGCCCTGCCCGAAGCAGCCGCGTTTAAGAGGAAGGCTCTCGGTCTCCGCGCGCGCCGCACTCGGACGCCGTCTTCCCTCGGAGGGAGCCGGGGAAGGCTGCTTCCGGCCAGTCTTCATTGGACCGAGGAGAGCGACGGAGCTTGCTTCTGCCCGTGTAAAACGCAGCCCTCCTCCCGAGGAGCGTTTTTGTAAGCCCCATTTTAGCACGCGCCTCGAGGAATTTGCAGCAGGACGCTGCAGAGAATAGCCAGGCAATAACGTTGAAATCCTCGGGGAGAGAAAAGGACTTGTTAAGGAACAGCAGCTGGGTGTTTCCTGACAACTTGGAATGTCTTTGTAGTCTTCTCCAGCCAGTATAGCCGGGGGGTGAGGGATGGTGGGGCTTCATCGCCCCACGTAGGTGGAGGTCGCTGGATTTCCTGGTTTTTCCTGTTTGCGGTAGGAAATAGGATAGTGAAAAATTATGCAAGTTTTCTCAGAACGAGCCCCATTGTGTTTGGTGGTATTTACTCTTTGGGAAGTGCCCTCTGGGTTGCAGCCAAAGAAGCCTTGTGCACTTAAAGCCCAAGCGGCCTAAGTTTTTGTGAGCCATAGTACATACTTGACAACGTGAAATTTGACTACAAAAGCTAACGCTGCAGTGTTTGTAATAAGTACTCTCCCTTGGGTGAGGATGCACTAATAAGGCAATTGAATGCTGATTCTGCTTTTCCCAAAATGGTGCCCTTGGGAGTTAGTGGACCAACTCCCATAATCCTTAGCTTTATTGAGTGAGGATTATGGGAATTGAAATTCAGGATCCCAGGAATGTACCATTTTGTGGAAACTGGATTAGATTATGAATGCATTCTTTTTTAAATACATGGATATTTAAATTAAGTACCTGTTTGATTTTTTTTTTTTTAAAGGAGCAGAAAGCTCCAAGATTCCTACAAAGAAATTGCAGGTTGTGCAGCAAAGCTATAGAGGAAGTTTGTGGGCTACAGATTGCTCCATTCAGTAAAGTTTCATCTTTAAACAATCTAAATCAGTGGTTCTTTTGAAGTGCTTTAATGGCATTAGTATTTCCAACTAATCAGCTGGGTGTACAGTAATTGGTTTCTCAGCTTCTACTCAAGGGCCACTGGGAATTGTAGTCTTGGGATGAGGAGGGGATGGCTTCCCCATATAGTTCAGGACAATATTTTATAGTATTTAGAGTCATAGAATCTAGTGGATATGTTGCAATCTGTTAGTTTGCAATTGTGAGAGCTAGAAAATCCAGATTCCTAGGGTTTTGCAAACTGTTCCATAGAACCTTAGGGTTCCATAAGAATCTGATGGGGTTCTGTGAGAGCAAACATTTTTAAAAAGTTCACTTGAAGATAGCCAGTTTTCTATCACTGATCATTATTGATCAGGAGTTCCAGGATTTTTTTTAACTAACAGTTTCCATGATTTGAACACTCTAAGCTCTGTTGAATGCAGTGTTTCTCAACCTCAGCAAATTTAAGACGTATGGACTTCAACTCCCAGAATTCCCTGGCCAGTCCATACAGTACATTTTAAATCTGCCGAGGTTGAGAAACACTGGTCTAGTGAATTTATGGAAGAGGCAGATTTGAAGCAGGGTGGTCTGTGGTTAATCTGTGGCTCAGTACATACAATGTGAGCTTGGCCTTAGAGTTAAAGAATTCTGTGTCCAGATTTGTGGCATATGTACTAAATCCAGTGCAGCTCACATTTTGGTTAATTCCATACTTTCTTCATTTCAGCAATCCAATATAGGACAGGGAAAGAGAATCATTCCATTTATATTATTGTTAAGCAGGAGTCAAAGATTCACATATGTCTTCTGCAAATCATATGCCAGTAAAGGAAAACTCACATTTGTTACATAGCTTAAACCATTGCTACACTTCTTTTCCATTTATTATTCCATTTATTTGTTTATAGAATTTATAAGGCTGCTGCTTTCAACTTAGTGACTCTGGGCAGCTAACAATACATAAAACATAAAGCAAAATAAAATAACAAAAATACAATGTGGCTAAGACTCCCTAACCCAACCCAACCCAACCCAACCACATTGTAAAGCATAGATATCAGGCTCAGCTGAGATCATAATGTCAGTGCCTGGGAAAAAACAAGTCTTCAAAGCCTTCTGGAAGATCAGCAGAATCAGGGCCACCCATATCTCATGGGTGTTCCTAGGACAGGGGCCACAAAAGAGAAGACATGCCTCTTGTATCCACTGTTCAACAAATGACGCTGTTTAACAGAGGAGACCCAGAGCATGCCTATCCTGCAAGATCTCATGGGATGGGCAAAAACAACCTGGTCTTGTGCCATACATCAGGGATGGGATAGGAGTGCAAGATTTCCTGGCCCTGCAAGTAAGATCCGGGGGGGGGGGATTTCAGAAGCAGTTCCTCTGCTTCAGTCATGTCTTGTACCTTGTTTTAAGATAGATAAAGCAAATGTAAGGTTTTTCAGTGGCACATAGAATTACCAAGGTATTTCATTCTGGTTGTACTTCTATCGTTGAAATTGCCCTTTGGGTAAGATTCTAAAGGTGTTTAGCTGCATGGTTAAAGGGAATGAATGAATCTCTCTCCTCTCTCTTTCTCTCTCTAATTTACCACAGCTTGACTGTAGATATGACACAAATTTTCTATACTGGTTTATATTGGTTTATATTGACTGTGAAAGTGAATATTTCCTGTATTTACGTCCTACAAACCAACATGTTTATAATTGATATTAGCCATAATGTTGTTGAACTAATGGCTTATTTGAAGCCAGACATTCTAAGCATTAAAAGAGAGAAATCTATAGCATATCTCATTGTTCCTTAGTAAAGGAAAAACACTGGCCACAATACTATTGCATAAGCCGTCTTGGTTGTTGGATGGATAGAAAATCTACATATAAATTGAGTAATAAAATAAAACACTAATATTTTCATTGTACTGTGACATATGCCCTACATGCATATTCCATGTGAATCTGCAGCACAGAATCTAGTCATTGATACAAAATTGGATTATGAACATTTTAGACTCCATTTAAAATATTGCAAATTTCTGATTCTTGTATTGCCCTTTATTTCCATCAAAATCTTTGATGATGGAACCTGATTTAATCAGATCACTAAACCAAGATTCCTAGTTACATAATAAGTGTGGCTGTATATGTATTTAACTTGTTATATTTATTTTCTCCCTTTGGTACAAAATAATGTAAAGCTAGTAAGAATAAGAATAAACATTCAGAATGCCACAGGTAGAAACCTAGTAAAGCATTTAATCAGATCACTAAACCAAGCTTCCTAGTTACATAATAAGTGTGGCTGTATATGTATTTAACTTAAGTCATATTTATTTTGCTGTCTTTATTTTGATCTACCATGTTGTTCGATTCTTCTGCTCTTAGTTACAGATCTAGTGTGGAACATGATTATTTTGCTATGCCAGCCTTAATTTATTTCTATGTTTGCATTTCTTTTTAGATGCATTCTTTACAGTCTGCTTTTGGTGGTTTTGAACTGACACTGAAAAATACTCAGCAAAAACAAGAAGTCACTGAGAAGGTTGTTAGGCAAGGGGAGAGTGAGGTCAATCGCATTAGTGAAGTTCTCCAGAAATTACAAAATGAAATTCTTAAAGATTTGTCTGATGGTATCCATGTTGTAAAAGATGCCAGAGAAAGAGATTTCACATCACTAGAAAACACTGTGGAAGAAAGGCTGACAGAGCTAACAAGATCTATAAATGATAATATCGCTGAATTCACACATATCCAGAAGCAGAGCCAAAATGAAATCAATGAAGTTAAAGCAAAGGTGGCTTCACTTGGTGAAACAGAAACATACAAACATGACCTTCAGGTTTTGAAAGACATTGTTGATGAAATGCAGGGATCCTTGAAAGCCAAAGAGAAGACTATAGAGTCTTTGCAAAGTACCATAGATTTGATGGAATCTGATGTACTGTCTGAAGTTAAAGCACTTGTCAACCTCAAACAGGAACATGAGAAGTTTAAAGAAGTAGCTGATACAGAGCACCTTTCATTACAGACTTTAGAAGAGAAAGTTCTTAAAGCAGAAGAATCCCTTTCTCATCTTCCAATGGAGCTCAAGAGACTCAGTGATGACTTGGTGCACATCAAGTCTTCTGTTGGTATACAAGATGGCTATGCATTCTCCAAAGATGACATAGAAAGTCTGCAGAAGAGCAGTGAAGAATTTGAATCCAGGCTCAGGTCCATAGAAGAGAATGTTCAAACTCTGATATCACAATCTGCACAGAACATAGAAGGAACAGAACCTTTTATTTTCAAATATGACAGTAAGCTAGCTGCATTAGAAGAAGGTCTAGGTTCTGTCCAGGGTGCTATAGAAAATGATGTACGCTCATTGACTGATACTGTAAGGAGTCTTGGCGAAGCACAGCTCTCAATCTACAGTGATGTTGATGAACTAAGGAGAAGCCTGAGCGATCTGCCAAATAATGCTGATGCACTTGATCATATCCAGAAACAAGTTCTTGCTTTGCTGGACCAAGAAAAGTCTTCAGTGAATGTAGGGCAATCTGGAGATAACCAGGGAGAACTCTCTTCTGTTAAAGGCTCTATTGATGAAGTGCGATCTTCTCTGGGTCAGGTGGAGTCTGACATAAAAATGCTTAGGACAGCAGTTGACAGTTTAGTTGCTTACTCAGTGAAAATTGAAACCAACGAGAACGATGTGCAGACAATGAAGGATTCCTTAGATGACATAAGGAATGACTTGGATAGGTTGTTTGTTAAAATGGAAAATATAAATGAGAAGATTTGAGCATCGAGTACTGAGCATGTTTTAACTTTGAACTACCAAAAAGAAAATGTTTTCCTAGTCCAAAGGAGCTTTGTTGTTCTATTGTTGTTGGGGAAGTTGGTGGAATTGAAATGGAGCTATTGATGTCTCTGGGAAAAACGTTAACACAATCCAATTAGGTAGGCCTATTTTTTTTTTACTATTTTAATTGCTAGGACAAATTAATTTGTTTCTGCAGCTTAACCTATAGTGCACTGGGTGGGGGTGTGGACCCAAAAAGCAAATTACGATGGCCATTGTCCTCATTAATCTAACAAACATGGGGGCCCCATCATGCACAAGGCTGTCCCACTCCTTTGAACAAAGAAAACACATGTACACACGCACACACATGCATTATATTGCATGTATCAATCTTCTACCATTGAAATAAAGCAGATAATTCATAGAAGGGGTCTGTGTACTAATTGGAATATGCAAAGGGATGTAATCATATATAATATATACAGTATTCATATGAAAATTACTGTATGGAATAATTGCATTCGAGATTGGGTTGTTCCATAATCTACAATGAGACTGTGAAGCTCATCAGTGTGGCCATTCCACAGCAAAACCAAAGGTGCTTTTGATGTGTCCATGGACAATAAACTTTGGCAGTATTGGATAGAACTTTGCCATTAGCGCCTTCCCTTGGGACAGTTTACTGTGATGTCAACTGAATTTGTATTCACCTTTGCTGCCCTAATTCATTGGTGCAGAGATGTATAAGGATCATGACAGGGAAATGAAAACAGCTAAAGAAAAAGTAATCAAAAGATGAACATGCCCCCCCCAGAAGATAGGGCAACAAAAACAGAATTGTTTATTGTAATTCTTTTTAACGTCTTCCATGTGACATAGCAAGATGCAACATAGAAATACAATGACGTCCAGTCTTGAGTGCCTTACTGCCTTCCTAGTATTGACTTGCATGAAACAAAATTAGACTTTGGATTGATTATAAAAAAGTCCACAAATAAATAAAAACTATCTTTGGATTTGAGGAATTCTTCAAAGAAGAGATATTCATAATATTGTTCACTTTACAGATCCACTGAGTTTTACAGTTGGGTACATTCTTGTTTATCTTAGAAAATATTTTCATGTTGGTCTTTCTGTTGATTTCTGCTTAATTGTCAAGAAAGATAACTAAACAGAAGAAGACTATGAAGAATGCTATCAGTTATCTATATATTCAGGTATCCAAATAAAAAATACATCAGTAGTAGAGGTGACACAGGAAATCCTCAGGAATAGAAGCAGACAAGGTGTGCAGTAGCCATTTATAATACAAGCAGTGTATTCAGAAACTGCTTCCCTAGAAATACAATGCCTTAAAAAACAAGAACTATGCCTTGTATTGAAATCAGTCATTATTTTTCTGGAGTGCTTTTATCTTGTGAGTCTTGAACGACTGTGTAGTTGGCTGTGAAATAACTTTCTCGATATGTGTAATGTTGAATAAATACTTACTCTGGTTGCAGTCAACAAGTCATTTTTAGTTTTGAGGTAGATTTGATAAGGGATAAAACACATAATGAGTTGTGTTATTAGTCTCTTTGAGTCCTTAGTTTGTTTACTAAATAGCTGCTACTATTGAGACTGTCATGGGCTCAGTTAAGATTCAAGCATCTATTCCTACTCCCCATTTGCTCTTGGATGTTATTTCTCTGCAAAGTTGCATTACATCTAGCTAAACCCAAAATAGTAACATTTTTATAATCCAAGGATAGGTTGCATTAATCTTTTTTGTAGATATATTATTCTGAGAAAAGAGTTTTTATGTATACACCTGTGGTTGTGGGAGGACTAGTTAGCTAGTAAAAGGGGAAATGAAATATAGGAAATTAATCCAAGGCAGTTCATACATTGAGCTAAATCATGACATATTTTTTAAACTTTGATTTTTTATATTTGGTGATCCCATTGTATATTTAAACCATAGTTAAATGGCTCAGTGTTATGTGTGAATTAGGCCACCTTGGCTTGTTTAAAAAGTGGTTATAATAAACCATGGCTTAATGAGAAATGTGAATTCAGATGTTTAGCTATGGATACCAGCCACTCACAAAACAGTTTTAACCTAGCTAATGAGGGTTCATTGTACTGCATTCTGCATACTTCCAGTATTTAAAATACACTTCTTTTCTTTCATGGACATCTTGTAGTAAGCCATGGCCACATATGTAATTCTTGGCTGGTGAGGAGACAAGACCAACCTTGGATTCTCTTTTTGCCTCTGAAAGTTTTTATTGCATATCACCCAAAGGAAGAAAAGCTATAATTGATAATCCACTTGTGGGAGAACCCACCCTAGATACTTTCATAATAAGTGTGGGTTGAAAGAACATGGGAAGAGCTGCATTGTCTGTCCACCCAGCTGTATTGCCCCATGCTTCCTTGGTATCATGGCTACTGAGTGCATAAGCCGTTTCAGCAGTTTCTTTCAAAGGATGGGCTGGGGCAATTGTCCTACAGGAGCCAGGCAGCAGAATCAAGCTATTTTGGTTCCCTGCACTTCTGTGTATGTTTAACCCATGAGTCATTCCAACCTGCTTCCTCCTGAATCTGCATTATTTATTTATTTAAGCATTTTAAAATAATGTATTTATTAAAAGTTTACACTGCTCACCTCCCAGCAACTATCAAAATATATGCTGATACACCAAGTCTGGGGTTAATACTTAAAATTGAAAGCTTATCCATACCCAGATCTCCACATATATATTTTGATAGTTTTCTTGAGTGGAGATTTGAGTGTGGGTAATCATTCTGTTTTAAATAGTACTCACAGAGACTAGGTGTATCAACATCCACAAAAATATAATTCTTCTGATCCCCTTGTTTAGACACTTGTGTTAAAATTCCTAGTCTTTTGTTCAGCCCTGTGGTATGGTTGGTTGATGGAGTCACCTGTCCATGTTTGTTCCCATTAACCCATCTTATTCATTTTTCTTGAGTGGGCAAATACATGGGGCAAAAAAGTATTTAGTCAGCCACCAATTGTGCAAGTTCTCCCACTTAAAAAGATGAGAGAGGCCTGTAATTTTCATCATAGGTATACCTCA